CCAAAACAAATTTTTTTTATTCCTATAGCTATCTTTTTTTTTTTAAACTTAACACTAAAAAAAAAAAAAAAAAAAAAAAGAAAAACAAAATCCCAAAGCAAACAACCCACCCGAATAAGTTAAAGACCAAAGCCTAGCTTAGAGACACTATTGAAAACCCTAAATTGCAAAAATCAAGCAAGAAAGCTACGAACAACTAGAAATCAGTTTTCCTGTGTTCATCTTCATTTTAGCATATTACTGTTCAGTCTTCAGTTATATTTCAGGAATGCTCTTTCCCCATTTTTCACATTTGCTTATAAAATATATATAAGTATTTTCTGAAAGGAAAGTTATATTTCTTCTGTTCTTCATGATCAAAAGTAAACTTTTAACCACACCTCTACTTGAGCTGTCAGATGATATTAACATAAGGCTGACTAACCATGTAGCCAGGAAACAAGAACCAGGCTGATCATTAGTTACGGTTTTGACACATGACTTTGTGGTGCTAAGTATGATTAAGTATAGTTTGAGCAGTGACTTTTTCAGTTTTATTTCCTTCTTAACAATATATTCAGCTGTGCAAAATATATACATCATATTACCAACAAAGCAGAAAAGTGATGGAATAGTTAACATAATAATTCAATTCAGACTGAAAAGAAACACTTTGCTAATTACAGCATAAGACATATGCAAAGATATATTCCTCTTCCAAGTATTTTTATTTATTTCTACAGTAAACAAGCCATAAATCCACAATGAGTCATCCAGAATAAGTCTGATTACAACAACTCTGAACAAGTGGGATGCAAATGCAGCACAAAAATGAACTAGGATATCAAGAGTTGGAGTCAAAATTAACATAAGCATATTCAGTATCCTTCTCCAATATACTTGAGATTTTAGAATCCACATCCAATTATTTTCTTTGCTTAAAGTCAGGCAGAATGTAATGTTAGCCCCTAGTAAGCAGGAACAGATTATCATTTAATGTACCAGTCCAAGTACCTCTTCCCAGAATGCTCCCTGATGGAGACACGAAGGTAGCAATACTGGAATATGATATTGGTGTATCTTCAGATAACTGTTTTGCTCTTCAGGTAACTGTTTTGCAGAACTGAATAGGTTAATGGAATAAAAATACATGAGCCAGAGAAATCTGGAATTACATAAGTATGCTGGCTTCAGTATCAAGTAGGAAATGTGTTTCAGGAAAAGGGGTGAACGGAGAAATCATGTAACTTCCCATTCCCACTGAAATGGTTATTTCTTTTCCCGAGTTCTTGGGACCCTGAAGGTGTTTTGACAATTCTACAAAAATTGAGCAAGCCATAGCATACCTTTTTAGCAATGTTACAGGTACAACCCAACTTCAACCCAACTTTACAATGGACAGATGGTGCTTTGACTTTATGACAACATGAAGACGGGTATCAAACTAGGGAAGACACTTAGTTTTTTGCTAGAATCAGAATTATTTTACCCCTAGATAAGAACTCCAGGGGCCAGAGCTGAAGATTAAAAAAAAACAAAACCAACAAAAAACCAACAAAAAACCAACAAAAAACCAACAAAAAACCCACACTCATATGATGCAAGTAAATTAAAACATTTTAAAACATTTTAAAAAAGAAAAAAGAGTTGATGGAAGTCCAAGAGATCTAACTAGGAAATCAAATTAGAAAATAGGTTTGAAAAAATAAGAGATGACAGAAAGAAGTGGTGAATTTTGACAGCACTTTGGGAAAGAAAACTGTTTGGAAGAAAAAGGGACTTTAAGAATGTCCCATTAGGTTCCTTATTTAACAGGCATTTCCACCAAAGATAAACCAGATTGTGTAGAATTACATGTTAAAAACCACATTTCTGTGCAGCACCCATTGACAAATTGCACCTTTTAAATGAAAGCTAATGATAGGTGTTCATTGGTGAGAACCTAATGTTAGAAATCCGTTGTGCAAGACAACAGAAAACCTGCAAAGCAGCCCCTTCGTGGCCCTATGTTGACACCAAACTCAGCTGTGTTCTGTCTGGTTTTGTCCTCTAAGAATTCTCCTTGAAGAGAATATAACAGCTTACAAAAAGGACAGACTTACCCATACATCTGACTAACTGATAACACATTCTGTGCATAAGCACATTGTTTCATTTGCTATGACACAGAGAAGTGGGGTTTGCTTGGCTGTTTCTTTTAGGGTCAGGGTTTGTTTTATAAACCAAAGTGTACAAAAGCTTTGTGTGCGTGTGTGCATGCACATACCTGTGCATTTACAAGAGACATAAGACTTTGTCCTGGCAGCTTCGTCCAGCTGCAGAAAAATAAAGAAGTTTAAGGGATTTTTGACACCATCTCCACGAATTAGACATTAAAGAATATACCAGTGAGTTCATTAACTTCTCACAGATATTTCTTTATAGCTAACAGTTGACAGGAGAGTCTGAGACACCTGTTTGGGACATTTACAAAGCGAACCACTTCCCGGGCTAGACTGGGCCCTCTCCAACCAAAGATCTACATCTACCACGTGGACTGGAAAGCCAGGACACATAATCAGTTTTGGAGTCTATCCAAACCTTACAGTATCAATTTAATCTTCCAGTATTTGCTGACTTGGTGGCTATCATGCCCCACGTGAAACTCTTCATCAACGCAGGTGTGGCATACATTCATTATGCAGCAAAAATGGCCATGGGACTGAGTTAGTACAGGGGCTACTATGTACAGAGTGAGTAAGGTGACAGAGCCGCAAGTGCCAAAATCACAACACCATCTTTAGATTCAAAGGCATGTTCAATACTCACAGGCTTGCCATTGACGTTAACTCACATTATCACTCAGTGACCTGCTGGACTTCTTGTTCTCCGCCATCTATGAACCCCCTACAGTCTCTTTTTTCCTCATATATGCGTAAAACATGGCCTCACTTTTTCCAATACTTTTTTGCAAAAATTCCTTAGTAACTGAACCAGTTTTAGTGGTGTAGAAGCCACAGAAGGATGGATGACCTTGGATGCATTTTTTTAAAAAATTGCAGTGTCTTACAACAGCAAGGGAGAAACCAAATAAATCACCGACATAAAAATAGAGATTTTTGGAATATGAAAGAGTCAGCTACCTGAAGGGTCTATGTCTGCCTGGACTGACACTGTAGCTTAGCAAACCAGAGGATAAAATTTCAGAAAAAAAATGTTGCCAGAAACTGTGGAAAGCAGTGCAAGTCTTTTTCTC